CCTCCTTCACGGTGAAAACAATATGTCTGATTTGAGGGGAAAAGGGGAAAACTTTGAGGAACTCCCATATATTTGAGGAAAAACTCCTCAGATTTTGAGGAAGTCTCCTAAAAAAAATCTAGGAATTTCCCTCATTTTTGGAGAAGGCCTCCTCTAAATCTGAGGAATATTTCCTTAGGTATAGGAGTTACTCAAAGTTTTTCCTTTTTCCTCAAAATATCGCAGACATTGTTTTTACCGTGTTCTATCCTATCTGGTGTTTTCGGGCAACGCATAGTGACATCCTATGCCCACCCGCTGCAGGGGCTCTATGGCTCGAAACCATTCACTATACTACAGCCCAGAGGAGGAGAAAAGGCCTCTGCTCCGCATGCAGCGCGAGAGGGGGGGGGGGACAAAAGCAAAAGGCGCGCGGGCGAGTCGGAAACCTCGAACGCGCCCCGGCAGCAGGGGATCACTGACAAAGAGGCCTAACGCACGACGGGCCGGGGGCCACTTTCCACCGCGTGCTGTACCGGCCCGGGCGAGACGAGACGGACCGTCAATGGCGTCCACGCCCCGCCCCGCCCCGCCAAAGAGCATGGCGAGCGACTTTTCTTTAGAGACCAGTCATCACAGCTTCCGCGACCACATGCCCATCCGGGAGGAGGAGGAGGGAGGAGGCACTCTAGCTGCCCCTCAGCTTGCGGCGCTTCGAGAAAATTAAACAATAGACGGGTACATGAAAATTATTGCAAGAAAATAAAATAATAAAGGGTAAATGAAAATTGTTAGAAAACAAAATATTAAAAAGGACATGAAAACTATATAAAAAAGAAAATGACAAAATGCACATTAAATTTTGAAATGTACGGTTCTGTGTTGTTTTTGTTCTCTGTACGTCCGTGCTCCTCACATGCACTGGCAGCGAAGCGGCGCCAAACAGTTGCCCGGCCAGCGGTCAATGAACAATCACTTAGCCGCATAGAGGAAGGTTCCGTTACCTTCTAATTAGGTTCCGGTCTCGGGGCTGCGCGGCTGGCGCCTCGGGGGGCCCCCCGCCCAGAGGGTCCATCAGGGCAATCTGACGGGCGGGCCCCGACAGGTCGGCATAGGGTAAGGTGCCCAGTGATGGACACTGTATACCAGTGATGGACACTTTTCTCGATTTGCAGCCAAGCTTTTCACTTTACGATCTTGGCACGAAACCAATGTTCTAGTAAGACCACTAGCGGCGAATAATAAACCAAACTACATCGGCCCGTTCTTTACATTCCAAGAAAAAGGCGAAAAAGGGGGTGTCCATCACCATGGGCAGATGCACCTCTTAAGGTGTCCATCATTGGGCATCTTACCCTACGATAGATCACCTGTACTGGCGCGCTGCTGCTGTGTTATGGCATGCATGTGTTGGTGGTGCACCTTATCCGGCCCCGCCACACCGGCCGCCACACTACCGTCAAGTAGCTGTACTTTGTGTTGCGCGGGCGGCGGCCTCCCGCCTCGATGCCCCGCGCGCCGTCGAGTGTGCGCGATTGTGCCGGTTCGCC